GTTTTGCTTTTGTTCCTTCATTTGTAAATAGTGCATAACTTGGTGTTGAAATGGGTCTTTGTAATTTTAAATCTTTTAACATTTTTATTATTTATTTCTTTTTCTCATAGTATATTATGTGGGAGAAAAATATTATAAAAAAGTCTTTAGATTTGTTTTAATAGATGTAAGAGTTCTTAGAAATTAATGTTTGTGATACTAATTAGAAATAGGTGAGGAAGACATGAAGAACGGATGAAATATATAAGGTAGAACTTGTGTTTTGATCACATTAGTTCAAGTGTTCTTTTTTTTTTTTTTATTAAGTTGATATTGTTTTTTAAAATATGATATGTTAGCATGTAAAGTTACTAGAAGTTATTGTGTTTTCTAGTGTATATTGATAAATTTGTAAAGAATGACATAAGTTTGAATATATATATATCCTTCAATAAAATGTAGAATTTGGTTTGATTTAACTTTTGAGAAATACTAGGGTTTCGTTACGGAATCATTCCGTCGGAATTTATAATCGTTAGATCATCATGTAATCATCGGGGATAGTTGATCTAACGTTTACGAATCTCGACGGAATGGTTCTATAACGGGACCGTAGCATTTCCATATTCTTTTATACAAATTGCTTTCATTATTAAGCAAACGAAAGTTCAAATAGTTTTACTATAAATTCAATTAAAATTCAAACTAGCTCCAATAACTATATTTTTACCCAATTTTTGGATATTTGACCTTCATGTTGTATTTTATTCATTTACTAATTAGTAATGCTCCCCTGAAAACATATTAATATGCCCACAACTTATGTGGCATGCACACATTGATGATGTATTTTTTAAACATATGAACATCGTCAACGTGTGCATGCAACATAAGTAGTCGACATATTAATATGTGCCACCGTGTTACCAATTTCTACAGATAGCTTTGGCGGCCTTTGAGCAATGGCCCTGCACCACCGCAAACGCAATTAGAAAAATAAAAAAGTTAATATTGCGAAATTTCAAATTAAATTGCAACACACCACACAAACACACACACAAAAAAAATCAAATCGAACCGTATTGAATTGGTTTTTCGATGTTGACTCGTTTTTCTCAGTCATGACTATATAAACCGAACACCTTTCAAAATTTAGCGCCTTCTCGAAGCGTAGTACCGTTTAAGCTCTGCCCACAAACTTCTGCAACTTTCAATCACTGCGACTCTCTCTCTCTCTCTCTCTCTCTCTCTCTCTCTCT